AGACTGACTAGAACCTCCTGAACTATTGCAATCATGATTTTGGCAGCCAGATTAGGCAAAGCAGAAGAGCAAGCAATTGCCCTAGAAGGGCTTATCCCAATATGGTATGCTATGTCCACATACTCAGAAAGTCAATGTCCTCCATTGGCCACTTTATAACATTCACATCCAAACCCAAACTCTCAATGTTTCCCCACAAACCACTTCTGCAGTTTCCCCAATATCTAGAAAAGGCAGTGCCATTCTTCCAGTTGCTCAAAGCAAAAAACTTGGTGTCAACCTTCATTCTTGGTTTTCTCTCCTGCCCCACATCTCGTGCATCAGCAAATTGCACTAGCTTCCCTCTGCTACCCCTCTGGGTCAAGGCCCAATCAGCTCTTCCTCACAGTCCCCAAAGAGCTTCCTAGTCAGTCTCTGCCTATTCCTACTCCACGCACTCCCTCAGTTACTCATCTGCCCCAAACCTCCAAGGGCTTCCTTCTCACTCAGGGTAGGGCCAAAGCCTTGCAGTGACCCTTAGGCCCTCTATCATCTGCCATCTGATGCTTTCTGACCTCATTTCCTCTTATTCCACTTGTCAGTCCCTTCAGCCAAATAGATCTCTTCTCTGTTCCTGGACCAAGCCAGCAGGCTCTTGCCTCTGGGCTCTCCTCTGCCTCTTCCTTCTGCCTAGAATGCTCTTCCCTTGGACAGTCCATATGTCTACAGGTGTTTACTCAAAAGTCACCCTCCCAATGAGCCCTTCCCAGGATTCCCTATCTAAAATTTTAACCTAGTGTCCCCACCCCCTCCCTGCAATGCTTTTTCTTCTTAGACTAAGTCTGTGTCCCTACCTAATGGAATATATTTTACTTACTTATTCGGTTTATTATCTGTGTCCCCACCAGATTATAAACTCCATGAAGACAGGGATTTTTTTTTTCTGGTTTGTTCACTGCTGTTTCACCAATGCCTGTGATACAGTAGGCAATAGGCACTCGATATTTTCTTTGCTTGCTTTCATTTTTGTTAATCTTCACGAAGAACATTTTTTCCATTAGTTTTTTTTTTTTGGTTGGTTTTTTTTTTAGGGAAGA